GGAATCAACAGACATAACCATTTATAGTCATCTGTCTAATGTCTGGCAAATTGTTTATGAGTTATAGTGTATTTTCACTTTTTACTAAATCCAATATGGCTGCTAAAAGAAGCCATTTTTCAAAAATCTGTTTCAAAAACTTTGTAGAGCTATCAACATAGGTGCCATATTCTAAACCGCTTCTCAAACAAGCAAGCAATTTTTAAGAAGATAATTTTTTGAGGTTTTTTGCATTTTTGTGATAAATTCAACATGGCCGCCAAAACCACTTGAATCATAGGAAATATTTTCATGAACACATAATCATCTTATTGAGCGGATGTTGTATGCCAAGTTTTGTTTAAATCTGGCAAATTGTTCATAAGTTATAGCGTAATTTAACTTTTTACTAAATCCAAGATGGCTGCCAAAGGAAGCCATTTTTCAAGAATTTGCTTCAGTAACTTTGTAGAGCTATCAACAGAGATACTATATGCTAAATTGATTGTCAAACAAGCAAGCAGTTTTTAAGAAGATAATTTTTTGAGGTTTTTTGCATTTTTTTTGATAAATTCAAGATGGCCGCCAAAACCACTTGAATTATGGGAAATATTTCCATGTACACATAATCATCTTATCGAAGGGATGTTGTATGCCAACTTTGGTGTCAATCTGGCAAATTGTTCATGAGTTATAGCGTACTTTCACTTTTCACTAAATCCAAGATGGCTGCCAAAGGAAGCTATTTTTCAAAAATCTGCTTCAGTAACTTTGGAAAGCTATGGCCATAGGTGAATGAATGAGCCATTTTTAAGAAGAAGATTTTAAAAGTTTTTTGTCAATTTTCACAAAATCCAATATGACGGCCAATGTCACATGACCGCTAAAGATTTTATTGCTGATATTTGCTAGACATGAGCCAATGATGCCACACAAAAAAAACGGAAGTTCCTAGACCCTCAGAAAGTGGTGCAATTGAGCACTTCCGGTTTGTGTTCTACCGAAGATGGCGGCCAGGTCATGTGACCTACATAGCTGGTTTTGGGATATGCACCACAACCCATGGCCCTTTATCAGCATGCAAAATAGCAAATCAATCGCAGCATTATTTTGCAACACACAGTGGTTACAAAAAACGGCGGAAAAATAATAATAAGCAAAGCAATTACAATAGGGTTTCGACCCGTAGGGCTAGAAACAATAATATTTTTTTTTTTTTTATCTAGGGGCAGCTAGTAGTTTTTTTGAAATGATTTTCTCTGGCACTTAAACAGTTATAGATGTACCTTGCTAGTTTTGTTATTTTTTGGCTGTTATTGCTTGTTAGCATTGTAATCAATTTATTGGTATTTGTGTTGTTGCAATGTATTAAATTTATTTCCTTCAACATTTCAGTTATATATAGTACTTTCGGTAATCTAACCGCAAGGAACTCTGGGAAGACGAATGGGGATTTCCCCATGGCAGAGAACACATTACATGCTTTCTTATGTATTCATCCGCTATTCCAAACTTGTTAGTTTGTTCTTAAGCTCCTACACAAATACAAGACTTGATAATTTTGGTATAATATTTAATAAAATATCCAGAGTGAATGAATGGCATATTTTGCAAGGAGATATTTAAAAAATCAAAGGATTATATTTGAGATGCGTATGGATACAAGCTGTAATTTGAAAAGGCGCAAGGTAAGTATTTGTGATCAAGGTTTGTGCTCTGTTAGGTGTTAGTACGTGGTCCGGGTTACGTTGAGTTTAGCTCACAGTCTACGTGTGATGCGCTATTTTAAAACTCGAAAATTTAATTTATGTAACGAACATGGTTCAATGAACGTGATTTTCCAACCTCTTGCGCTCAAACTGTATCGTATTCGTGGCGCCATAACTCCATAAATTTGGGAATTTCCCTTAAATACGAAGGGGAAGTTAGATTCAGATTCATGTTGAACAGCATATTCATATTCTAGCAACTGATTCAGATTAAGATTCGATCTTGCTGTGCTCGCTATAATTAGGAGGCCCATTCTCCTTCCCGGAGATCCTTGCAGCTAGAACACCGAATGTATCTCTGCCACCACATTCCATCATTTTGTGGTGAAACACCACAAGACTTTTACTACGCGTATTTATTTGTGTATTTTTGTTATTTAGAGGGTTCTCGTGTTGATTTATTTCTACTGGTAAACAAGTTTTAATATTTTATCGGTAGCTGATAGTGATTATTCTGTAAATGCATTGTCAAAGGGAAAGTGGTTATAATTTACAAAAGAAAATAATTTCATCGTGGAATAACGGTTACTAAGGTGTTCTCGATTCATCAAACAGACCGTCCTGCTGATTGTCAGGAGAATAAATTTAAACAAAGGAAAGCACTTCCTAATATTGACAGCTAAATCATCCTACTGCCACACCGTTTGTGCTACGGAAAGTAAAATAATTAGTTTCTCACTTTGAAAACGGCCAGAATCTACAAACAACGCATACAGTTTCGTTGGGTTTGAAAATTTAACACCTGCATGGCAATGTTTTGTTGGGCCTCTTTGAAAGTAGTGCCACTGTGACCCATTGACCAATAAACAATGAGCATAAGATCACGTGGGTGCAGAGATATATTCATAGAAATAGAACTCTGCCTGGAAGATTGAAAGAGGCCATGTACCAGTTGGTTGAGATCACATCAACAGTCTCTCTATTACCTGTCTGGCAACATCAGACTATCTTTTGTTTCTATATCCACATATGGGTACACAGATAATTCACACCTATGATAAGCAGTGATCATTCACGTAATAGCCAACCAATACATAAATAGTTGAAACTTCTGAGATTGGAGGTCAATACAATCTTTCATTTATAAATTTACCTAAATTTTCGCTGTTTATGGGGAAAAAAATTGCGACATTGTGAAAGTTTGGTGCTAATAAAATCTATGGCCACTCTTTCTATTTGAAGTTGGACATTTAACACTCTATGATGAACATCTTTATAAGTATTCTAATATTGTTATAATTATGCGATGTCAACATTGATTTCGTCGTCCACAACGAAGCTCTACATGATACTGGAGTCGGTTGTTGTTAATGTTGGTTTTACACAAGACAAGGTGAATAATGGCTATGCTGATTGTATCGCTATGCTTCGTGGCAACAATGGCTGTTGCCAAATCGGTGCATCAATGAAATAAGGCTGAATTTTATGTATGAATGAATGAATGTCCACCAGTAAGAGTTAAGAAAAATGAATAGATACAATTATATAAATTGCATATTAATATAAAATTAATATTATGGAAATGTGTAAAGAAGTTCTATTCCATGTCAACATTAATGTATATGATTATTGCTGATTTCAGTAGGACACAATATATGTTATTCCATCAATATACACAATAATGATATATTTTTACATATCACATCAATGTTAAAATACTAACCACAACAAATTCAAATGCTTACATTTTATAGTATATGATTTACCACAGAGCAGATTGTAATATGTTTAAATTCATACACAATCCACAGATGTTTTAGAATCGTGTATACCTGGGACAAGTAATCCCCACTGAATGTTAAAGCTATGTTACTTAACTATAAAAAAGATTGATACAACATGTCTACTCTCAAAAAATACACACAGAATGGAGACAAGTATCTAATGGACTACAAGTAGAAATAAATATCTTGTTTAATAACAAAATAAGTTTAATGTACAAGGAAGTACAATTCAATGTTTCCGTGTTGGCAAACTAATAATTTTGGAATTGTTCAAGAAGGCAGCTCAATCCACACAATAATATTAATGGTAAAATTGAATATTTCTAATAATAATAATGCAAAAACTAATTACCGGTACAAAATCCAACAATGCCCCCCACACCCTCTATGTTTATTTGTGAAATTACAGTTGGTAAAACATTGATCTTTGTTGTACGTGTCTAAAAATGGTATAAGTTATTTAAATTCAAGAATCAATACATCTGCTCATTCTAGTGTCTTTAGTGGAACATAGGTCCCATCAAATTCATTCAAAAACACTTAAAATTAATCATTCACAGATATTTTATTATTACAAACACTATTTCTTGCAGTGGCATAGAAAGTTTAAATTGTTAAATATGTACTTAATTGTTATTTTAGATGTACATTTGGTTAATTCAATTAAAAACGTTGCATTGTGCTGGGCACCTATTATAATGTGAAGATTAATTGAAAAATTAATAAAAAAAATTAAATTATGCAAATCATTATTAATGTATTTAAACCCAAAACTATTTAGTTTGTCGCATTTTCTTAAAGAATTTATGTACCAAGTTTCATTAAATTGTGATGATTAGTACCTGGGATATCGTTCGAAAAGTAAAAATTTTTTTAATTATTAAGCAAATCAGGTAATCAGTATGAACAGATTTTATCAAAAAACTAATCAGGTTTGTACATTGTCCTAAAGCATCTATATACCAAGTTTCATTGAAATGAGGTGGTTAGAACTTTAGATACTGGTAGTAAAGCTGAAAGTTTACTAATTACGCGAATTAGCTAATTAATATGCACAGTGTCACTTAACGTTTTTTTGTGTGCTTACAATGACTCAACATTTTTTTATCTGATCATCTTCAAACTTTGAACTCTTTTTTAATCACTATGGGTTAAAATCAAGCTAAAATAAACCATTTGTTTGCATAGTGGTATAGATCGAATTCAAATAAAATAAAAGACGTTCTTTTGTTTTGATATTTCTAGTACGGTATACTGTGTAACTAACAGATTGCTTTCACATTGTACATTTTAAGAGCAGAGCTATATTAGCCAACAGCTGGCTTATCTAAAATGATTATCTAAAATTTTTAGAAAATTTTAAATATTCTCTATTTTATGTCTTCTATACCTTATATTTACTCTAAGCTTAGTATTGTTTTAGTCCCCAGTAGACGAAGTTCGGATTTATGTTTTGGATCCTTAAGTGCATTCATTCATCCATCCATTCATTGTCATTTCTTGAATAGACTGCAGATATTTCTTTGTAGCTTTTTGTTCATAGCTAAAAAACAAAGTAAGATCAAGAAAAAAAACAAGACATGACCGTCTAGCCTAGCCACTATAGCAAAATTTAATGTCAGGTAATCCCTTAAACAAACATTGGTGTGGCATATGAACTATCGTATTTACCTATATCTAAGCTTTCAGATGATATATAAGATGTTATATTGGCATACTTTATAATATTTACAGAATATCTGAATCCTAGATCAATTACTAACTTGTACCTTGAGAGAAAGACAATGATTTTGCTGAAAATTAAATAAAGATTTTTGTAAACTGACACAGAATATGTATGACTGTGTAAAAGAAATAGAAAAGAAAAACAAAACAATATTCTTTTTTTTTTCAGGTATTGAAACTCAAAATATGTAACTACATTATAATTCTCATGGCTGTTCCTTTTGTTGTGGAAGGTTTGCCAAATTCATTAAAGTCAACATCATCACTGCCGCCTGAATCGTGTAATGGGCATGATGGTTATGAACTCAGTATATTTGTCAAGAAACCCACACATTACATATGTCCTGTGTGTGATAAAGTATTGAGATCACCTAGACAGCTACAATGTGGAGACAGGTTCTGTAAAAACTGTGTTGAGAAAATATTACAGTAAGTCAAATGAAATTACCAGGTATTCTATATATTTTGTTAAAATTTAAACCAGATTCAAAAGTTATGGAATTTGTCAGATTTTGATGGATATTGCTGCTCATCAGCTGAGTCATTAACTCAGTTGATTGATTACTGAGTCATTACTCAGTCGATTGATTACTAAGTCATTACTCAGTCGATTGATTACTGAGTCATTACTCAGTCAATTGATTACTGAGTCATTACTCAGTCGATTGATTACTGAGTCATTACTCAATCGATTGATTACTGAGTCATTACTCAGTCGATTGATTACTGAGTCATTACTCAGTCGATTGATTACTGAGTCATTACTCAGTCGATTGATTACTGAGTCATTACTCAGTCGATTGATTACTGAGTCATTACTCAGTCGATTGATTACTGAGTCATAACTCAGTCGATTGATTACTGAGTCATTAACTCAGTCGATTGATTACTGAGTCATTACTCAGTCGATAGATTACTGAGTCATTACTCAGTCGAATGATTACTGAGTCATTACTCAGTCGATTGATTACTGAGTCATTACTCGATTGATTACTGACTCATTAATTCAGTTGATTGATTACTGAGTCATTGCTCAGTCGATTGATTACTGAGTCATTACTCAGTCGATTGATTACTGAGTCATTACTCAGTCGATTGATTACTGAGTCATTACTCAGTCGATTGATTACTGAGTCATTACTCAGTCGATTGATTACTGAGTCATTACTCAGTTGATTGATTACTGAGTCATAACTCAGTTGATTGATTACTGACTCATTAACTCAGTTGATTGATTACTGAGTCATAACTCAGTCGATTGATTACTGAGTCATAACTCAGTCGATTGATTACTGAGTCATTACTCAGTCGATTGATTACTGAGTCATTACTCAGTCGATTGATTACTGAGTCATTACTCAGTCGATTGATTACTGAGTCATTACTCAGTCGATTGATTACTGAGTCATTACTCAGTCGATTGATTACTGAGTCATAACTCAGTCGATTGATTACTGACTGATTAACTCAGTCGATTGATTACTGAGTCATTAACTCAGTTGATTGATTACTGAGTCATTACTCAGTCAACTGATTACTGAGTCATTACACAGTTGATTGATTACTGAGTCATAACTCAGTCGATTGATTACTGAGTCATAACTCAGTCGATTGATTACTGAGTCATTACTCAGTCGATTGATTACTGAGTCATAACTCAGTCGATTGATTACTGAGTCATAACTCAGTCGATTGATTACTGAGTCATTACTCGATCGATTGATTACTGAGTCATTACTCGATTGATTACTGACTCATTAACTCAGTCGATTGATTACTGAGTCCTTAACACAGTCAATTGAATACTGAGTCATTACTTTGTCGATTGATTAGTGAGTCATTAACTCAGTCGATTGATTACTGAGTCGTTAACTCAGTCGATTGATTACTGAGTCGTTAACTCAGTCGATTGATTACTGAGTCCTTAACACAGTCAATTGAATACTGAGTCATTACTTAGTCGATTGATTAGTGAGTCATTAACTCAGTCGATTGATTACTGAGTCGTTACTCAGTCGATTGATTACTGAGTCATTACTCAATCGATTGATTACTGAGTCATTACTCGATTGATTACTGACTCATTAACTAAGTTGATTGATTACTGAGTCATTACTCAGTCGATTCATTACTGAGTCATTTGTTTATGTTTACAGGAAATCAGAAGAACCAGTTTGTCCTGTTGTTGATTGTCAAGAAACAGTTGATGTGAATGAAATAGTACCAGACCATGCAGTGAGGAAAGACATACTGGCTTTAGACATTTACTGTGAATATAGAGATAACGGTTGCAATAAAATCATTAAACTGAGAGACTTAAGTTCACACATACAAGAGTGTGGCTATGCAGAAATTGATTGTATACATAAACAAAGAGGTTGTCATGCTAAAGTAGAAAGAAGACATTTGGCAGACCATCTGGCCTCGGACTGTCTCTATAGCCCAGTAACATGTGAATATTGTAATCAATCACTTTCAAGAGAAGATTTAGAAGTAAGCATAATACTTAATCAATTCACTTTTCAAATCAATTAATATGAATATCTGAGGAGGTTAAAAGTTGCAAAAGAAAATAAATAAAAGTTAGTCAAATTACAATGGTTAAGAGTTTAAAGCACAACCAAAAACAGACAAGCAAAGATCTTGTTCGAGTCGCAAAACTTTCTAAAGTTGCGTTTGTTCAGTGATGGGTTTGATCCTGAAACACACATTTTCATAACTTTGAATGCCACTAGTACTTAATCTCAATCCGAGTTTCAATGTACAGGGACATGATGGTTAGAATTATCAACACTCAGAACTTTATTGTGCTGTTGTAGAAAAATTCCACTAATTTATATACGAGGAAATTGTGACAGTGGTTATCCATGAGTGTCAATGTTTTACTTTTTCGACTTCTTCTTGAAAACTACTTGCCTGAATGCTTTGATACTTGGTGTATATGTACCTTGAGTAGACCTCTCTTAGGTTTGTTCATTTCATGTTGATATCTTCAATTCTCTAATTTTGGTGAATATTTTTGTCATTTTTGGTAAAAAGTGATATTTTCGACTTCTTGTTAAAAACCGCAAGTCCAATTGCTTTGATGTTACATATATAGGTAATATATGTGGACCTCTCTCAGATTTGTTCATTTCATGATGATGTCTTTAATTCGCTAATTTTGATGAATATTTTTGTAATTTTTGGTAAAAAGTGATATTTTTGACTTCTTGTTAAAAACCGCGAGTCCAATTGCTTTGATATTACATATATAAGTACTACATGTGGACCTCTCTCAGATTTGTTCATTTTGTAATGATATCTTTAATTCTCTAATTTTGGTGAATATTTTTGTCATTTTTGGTAAAAAGTTACATTTTCGACTTCTTGTTAAAAACAGCAAGTCCCATTGCTTTGATATTACATATATAGGTACTACATGTGGACCTATCTCAGATTTGTTCATTTTGTAATGATATCTTTAATTCTCTAATTTTGGTGAATATTTTTGTCATTTTTGGTAAAATGATATTTTTGACTTCTTGTTGAAAATAGTCCCATTGCTTTGATACTATGCATATTGTTCATTTTTGACTCCCATGTGCGAAGCACAAAATGGGAGTCTTTGCAGTTAGTGTGTCTGTATGTGTGTATGTGTGTATGTGTGTATGTGTGTATGTGTGTGTGTATGTGTGTATGTGTGTCCGACTGTTCCACTGCTATCTCAAGAACCATACATCGGTTTTTGATGAAACTTGGTGCATAGATGCTCTGGGCCAATGCGCAGATTTGATTAGGTTTTGGTAAAAATCCATGCTCGTTAATTACCTAATTTGCATGATAATTAGCTAATTTTTAGCTGTTCTATGACTGTTCCACTGATATCTAAAGAACCACTCATTGGATTTTGATGAAACTTGGTACATAGATGCTCTGAACATATGCGCAGATTTGATTAATTTTTGGTAAAAATCCGTGCATATTAATTACCTAATTTACATGAT